CGGTTGTGATTTTATTTTTTTTTTTTGTGCTGAACTCGATGTTCTACCCTACTAAGTATCCAGACCACACAGTTTTCTCCTGTCCACCTTGCCCGTGCAGTACAGTTATCTGTTAATACCACTTTGATGCAGCAGATGATGCATGCAAAGGTTGGACCCATTCATATCAGACAGGTGACATAAGTTGCTTGTCACTGTAGCAGAGACTCCAGTCTGGGTCTGCAATTTTTAAGTATTCATTTTTCTGACAAATATTTTCTCAATTAATTGTATTTTTATAGAAGTGAAAAACAGCCACTATAATTGGTTTATCTAAATAGCTTGTAATGTTCGAGCGTCAGTCAAAATCCCAGAGATAAACGCAAATGTTAATGGCTAAAACCATCAATATAGAAATATAAAAATACATTCAGTTCATTTTCTTTCAATCAATAATCGACTGTTGTAGTTCTAAGCCAATCAGCAATGTAGTTCTACTGAATACTGCTCTGTATAACATGTATTTTTTCAGCTAAATAATCAACTTTAAAGATATTGATTATTTGCATCAGTAAAATCTTGGGTTTTGTCACATCTTGTTTTTAAGAGAAAAAAAAAGCTTATTTAGAATTTTTCTCATTGACCTTTCCAGCCTTTCCCTGGTTCGGTATGGACATCGGTGGCACCTTGGTCAAGTTGGTGTACTTTGAGCCAGTTGACATTACTGCAGAGGAAGAACAGGAGGAAGTGGAAAACCTCAAGTCCATCCGCCGCTACCTCACCTCAAACGTGGCCTATGGTATGTCTACCCACACACACATTGGTCACACCCACATACTTGCATCTCTTAACTTGTGTGCGTATCTAAGGCAGGGAAAGTCAGATCAGGGACACTAGAAGATACTAGGGTGTTTTTTTACCATATGTGTCGCTAATGTATTGCTTAAGATTTTTTGAATTTTTTTTCTTGGCTTCAGGTTCAGTTCAAGCAGACCATTCACCTTCTAAAGTTACTGAAGCTTTGCAGCACCACAACACAAAGAAATAACATTTTTGTGCAGATGAACTTTAATCACAGCTTTTAGTAGAGTGTGTTTTACTTAGTCGGTATGAGTACATCAGGCCAGAATCCTATTTTCAAAAAATTGGCCCTCCCTCACTCAGGTAAAACAGGCGTCCGTGACGTCCACCTGGAGCTGAGGAACCTGACCATGTGCGGCAGGACGGGGAACCTGCACTTTATCCGCTTCCCAACACAGGCCATGCCCCGTTTCATCCAGATGGGTCACGACAAGAATTTCTCCAGCTTGCACACAACACTCTGTGCCACTGGAGGTGGCGCGTACAAGTTCGAGAATGACTTCAGAACGGTGAGCATATGGCCAGAGAAAATGTCTGATCCGCATTAAGTAAAACAATTGGTAACTGAGAGAGCTGTAACAATAAGTTGATTAGTCCATTAATGAGTTTATCTGCAACTATTTTCATAATGGATGGAATAACTATAAGTAACCCTCCAAACATTTGACAGTTCCAGTTTCTCAAATGGGAGAATTTAAATTGTAAATCTTTAAACTTAACGAGACTTTCAGTTATAGATAACTACGTTAGGCATCTTTCTATCGACCAAATGATTAATTGAGAAAGTAATGGCCCCAATCACTGATCATGCTAACTAGGCCATGTTAAAAGCTCTGTCTCATTTACAGTATACAGAATCAAAGTTCTCACCCGTTATAATCTGATTTGAGCAGTCTTTGAAGTTGATTGAGGATGTCTATACATTTCTGGTGATTCTTAAACATTACTTGAAGTTCATGCATTTGCAGTTCAGTGCATTTGATGCCTGTCTCAGTAGCTGTTTCTCCGAGAACTCTCCCTGGGCACTGCAGCACGAAATGAGCTGAACTAAGACCTTAAGCACACTTGAGTCTTTAAGTGCTTTGAAAATCATTTTAACTTCATAAAACTGACAAATGAATGCTTCCAAGAAATGTGATAATCTTTTACTTTAACATATCTTGAACAGTTAAAACCCCTTTCATTGTGTTTGGCAGCCAAAATGGTGTCCGCTCAATATTTTAACCCTCCTCCATTTGTGCTGCAGATGGCCGACCTGGAGCTGCTGAAGCTTGACGAACTGGACTGCCTGATCCGCGGTCTGCTCTACGTTGACCGGGTGAGCTTCAATGGACACCCGGAGGGCTACTACTTCCAGAACCCATCAGACACCCAGAGCTGTGTGAAGATGCCCTGCACCCTGGACAACCCTTTCCCCATGCTGCTGGTCAACATTGGCTCCGGGGTCTCCATACTGGCCGTGTACTCTGAGAACGACTACAAGCGGGTGACTGGGACCAGGTGAGGAGGGTTGAAAAACATGTCAGCTTGGTTGATTTTAACTGGATTAGAATTGAGTATTTTAATTAAAACTAAATATTGTTTCTAGAGCAGCATCAGTTAAAGTCACTCTATAAAGTCTTAATACTAAAACATTTAAAGTAGTTAAGATTAAATATTGAGTTCAAAACTGGTTTGTTTCAATAAATCAGTGAGTTTTGAACTTGAAGTTGTTTTGCGTGAATGAATATGTGCAAAAGGTGAAGGTGGCTTAATACTTTTTATAGCTTGAGTAGATCCGCCTGATAGGCCAGAATCAGTTGTCTAAATTCCAGCCATTTTTTTTTATCTATGATCACATTGTGTACCTTAGTACTTATGTAACTGTAGGACTAGGTTGTGATTAGATAGAGAACTATTGAAAACAATTGGAAATAAAAAGAGTGGGCCTCCCGAGTTATTGTTACATTTTTAAATTTGGGGCATGTTATTAACATTTGGGAACCAAGCTTTCATGATCCTTGTCCCACCACTTAGTTCACCCCTTAAACTAGTTGAGCCAGCCATGGTTCAGTCAGCCAACCTGTGTGTGTTTAACTGTTAACATTAATCCTGTTTATTCCCTCTCCATATCTTGTTATTTTTTAGTATTTTATTATTTATTGATTATTAAAAGGTTAGAGATTGCCCTAACAGAACTCCAGTGACTCTTGAATAATGGTGTAAGAGATTGAAGTACTAGGAAGAGATTTTAGAGCTGAAGACAGAAGTAGATCTTTCTGTATTCCCTTCTTCTCCATCTAATCCTCTTTCCCTTCTTCTTTATTCCCCTCTTTTAACATCCTCTCTGTGCTCTTTCTATTATTGTCTCCTTCACTCTCTCTCTCTCCGGCTTTATCCTCTTTCAGTCTGGGAGGTGGTACATTCCTGGGCCTTTGCTGTCTGCTGACGGGGTGCGAGACGTTCGAGGAGGCGTTGGAAATGGCCAGCAAGGGCGACTCTACCAACGTGGATAAACTGGTGAAAGATATCTACGGAGGAGACTACGAGCGCTTTGGCCTACAGGGCTCCGCTGTTGCATCTAGGTGAGTGTGATGATGGCTTTGTCACCTGAAAGTCCACCATGTTGTCCCAGTTCATTTCAGCAAGATACTTAATCATTTGAATGCTAAATACACCGAGGGACATCAATAAAACGGTTGTAATTATACTGAAAAAACTCCCTGACCTGTTGTATGTGATGCTGAAGAATAAACTATTTGTGGCATATTAAAGAGCTATGGGACAAAACAAAACCTTCCTAAAGACAACACATCCAGCCCGTCTGCATGTTGATTAGATCAGTGTCCTTATCAACAGTTTCTTTCATTAAAACCCTCCTGAATCACATCTTTTTTGAAATTTCTGTAAGTAAATTAAGGCTGCCCCTTGATGGCTAAAATAACCAGTTATGTCAGTTGATTCATTGTACACAGAGCGATGCACAGTAGGCTATGAACCTTTGCAACCCAGCTCTTGTCATAAAACCAAACATAAAGCTTAATATAAATATGGATGTGGGTAGAATGACGCAGGGCAAAATGACTGCTAGCATGCTCTGATGCTCTGTGCTTCTAGAGAAGTTGACTAAACTTGAACCAGAAGCTGACATCACTTCCTCCACTGACTCTCACTGTGGTAGGGACTTGAACTGACAGGAGATGTGACGGGAGTTATACTGTCGGTAGGCAGGACTGTACTGTGAATTGGCAGTGGCTGTGAATAATATATTTCTCATACTGTGGGTGAGGTATATTGAAGAAAAAAAAACATTAAAAAGTTGAATATTTGGCCTTAACTGGCGACTTATAATTAATTTGGAAAATGGTGATTCTCATCAGTGTTTGATGAACTGAAATGTATCTGTACATAACAAAATAAAAGCGTAATTAAGTAATTTGATGCAAATTATTAAACTAATAATGTGAAGTGGATGAAATCAGCTTGGAACTTGCTGAATCTGCTTAAATTGCTAATTTAGTTTTGTTTTTGTTGCACTGTATGAATGTATGGCTGCACAAACACATGCAGTCCATAACAGAAATAACAAACTACAAATATAGTACGGGTGTATAAAATAACAGCTGAATGCCATAGGGTAAACACGCAAGAACTCACTCTCACTCTAATCTGGGTTTAGCATGTGTACAGTAAACCTGCAGCTCTGTGTTCAAAGGTTGATCCATAAAGCAAAGTGAAAAACAGATTTTATCACAGATTATAATCGCTGTTTCTTGTCATGGTGTTCCTTTCTGTCATTTATTGAAAAACACCCCCCTAAACACCTACAATTTACTGAAGTTACTGTTTACTGTTGTTCTGAAGGTTATTGTGACATTTACAGAGGCTCATGTGTGCTCTGTGCCTGTTTTTTTTTTCTTCTCTTTCAGTTAATTTGCTAAGAGTATATCAGACTTGAATAGTACCAAATGAGGAAAGGATGCCTGTGTTTATGTTTGTTGTTAAATTACATATTTTATTTATATGTTGTGTTTCATATGGTCTGTTATAGTTTTGGTCACATGATGAGCAAAGAGAAGCGAGACAGCATCAGTAAGGAAGACCTGGCCAGAGCCACACTGGTCACCATCACTAATAACATCGGATCCATAGCACGGATGTGTGCTGTCAATGAGGTAAACACACACACACCACAACAACACACACAACACACACAACACACAACACAAACACCACAACACACACACACACAGGGTTTTGGTCACTATCATGCAGAATAATATCCACAACAGGCATGTGTAGTTTATGTAATACTTATACACAAACACATGAGCGGTTATAGTTGCTCTCAACAGTAGCGTGATCCATTGGCACGTGTTCGTGTTGAAATAATTCTAAACACACAGGCACATATACAATGACCAGGGTTTAGAGATTTTCTAGCCACTCAGCATGACTAACATAAAGTCAGTCAAAGTTATGCTTTAAACCCACAGATGCACCTGCAGATACAAACGCACACTCACAGTTTACAACTTTATTTCTTATTATTATTATTATTATGACTTCTTTATTTCTACCCAGGTCTGTGTTGTTGTTTTGTAGTAAGTGCTTAATCAGAGAAACTAAAGACAGATTATTTTTTCAGTTTTACACTGATTTTGTTCCAGCTGTTGGTGTCTCAAAACTCTGGCATGAATGGCGATGAGTTTAAAATAGTCAACTATGAGCTTTCAGTCAATTTTGGGATTGTGGGTGCTAAATGGCACAGAGTGTGTCACAAAAAGAAAAGCTGTTTGATCTAATAGAATAATAGTTTATGCATGGAAATTCATGAGTAAATAGTTACACAAAACAAAAATGGAGCTAAAGCTGGATTTAAAAGCAGCCACGCTCAAACATGGAGTAAAGGGTCAGCCTGGAGTCTTTCTGGGTGCTGTGAGCTTCTTTACAGTGTTGCCTTGTGGCATGGCGATCAAGCAGCATTGTACAGGGCTATCACTGCACACAGAGCTGCAGCAAAGACATGCACACACCTCCACCGTCTGTAGCGTTAAGGGCTAAAATTGGGATTTTGGTATGGAATCTGTAGGTCCAGTTTTGATTTTAATCATCTTTAATATTGATGTAAGAAATTGTTTTGTGTAGGTTAAACAAATACCTACACGAGAAAAGTATTTTCTACTAGTGTTTTCCTCTGGCTGTGGACAGGAATGGACCTCCATCCTATCAGGGGTAGATGACCTGAAGATTGGTTATCAATTAGTCCTGTATTTGCCACACAACAAACAAACGCACACTCATCTTTTCTAAGTGCACATGCAGTTCACAGCCTGAAGATAAGCTCTGTTACAAACAATCATCTTCTTAACAGCAGGAACCTTTTTATAATACTGCTCACAGTGTTTTATCCATTTGCAATTTACCAAAATTCCCTTTCCACTGTGGCTGTTTCTTGTAATTTTACAGGACTTTCACAATACATTAGATAATATTAGATAACCCATTGCCAAATATGCAGAGACTACTCTTTCAATGCAGTTTTTTCCCACTGTGGATGTCAAACTGGAGGTGAAGTATAAGTATTAATTTGTGAATGTAAAGCTCCCACTGTCACTGTCTTTCTCATTTTACATTTACAAATTTATTTTTACATTTTCTGGTCACTCGCCTAAAATATTCCATAGCAGCATTTAGCAGTTGTATGATTTTTTTTCTGGCTTAATTGCAACTTTGAAAGCTTTTGGTGTAATACCACATTTAATCAGCATTTGGTTGGTAGCTGATTTGTCCTTGCAGTGGAGGTTACGCGTCACCAGTAGTAAAGACCATTAGGTCTTTTCCTTAGTAGAACAAAAGATTTACTGGTAACCAGTTCATCAGCTCTCCAGCACCACCATGTGGTTTGGAAGATATGTTGCATTTTTAATTGCTGATGTGTTTAACGTAAACTCTTTGTCAAATTGTTCATGACCTTAAGCACTTGTTCACTTTGTGACTGTTTATACTTACTCTAGAATTATTTGTATACATGAATGTAATTAAAGACAGATTTTATGAATATCATTATATCTGTGTCAGATAGTGTCTGTTTCATAAAAAAGAGCAGTGAACACTATTGTTTGGTGCGATCAGTGTAGTCTAAATGTGTGGAGCAACATTTGTGACATGAACTAGGAATGTTGCAGTTCATGATCGGCCTAAGGGCTCCCAAGACACATCAGCGTTTCATATTTTTAAACATGAATATATTTTATTGTTACCGCATTTGACATAGTGGTCACACACATAATGGGGCTTGATTTCTCTTAATTTACCTTTTTGCGTCTCTCTTCATATCAGAAAATTGAGCGTGTGGTGTTTGTTGGGAACTTCCTTCGAATCAACACAGTGTCCACAAAACTGCTAGCCTATGCCATGGACTTCTGGTCTAAAGGACAATTAAGAGCCCTCTTCCTGGAACACGAGGTGAGCACTCGACTAATCAACTGTAGGATGAGTTTAATCAAGCTGAGGACCTCTAGTCAGAGCTGAAAGAAGTCAGGAGGAAGACTCAAACCTCTTGTCTTTTCAAGCTTAAGCTAATATCCCACATAACACATAAACAACACTCCAGTATGTGTAAAAAGTGTGTGTGTGTGTTTGCACCAGGGTTATTTTGGAGCTGTCGGGGCGCTGATGGAGCTGCTCAAGACAACAGAGGACCCGTGAAGGAGATAATGTCATGACATCATCAACACCTCGACAAGATGATGTCATGTACCCCTGAACGCTGTGATGTCATCAACTCTCGATGCTGTGACGTCATCAACTTTTGACGCTGCTTAAAGGTCTCGTTCACAGAGGCCGCTAAAGGAACACTAAAAGAGAGAAACAGAAACTGAGAAAAGCCATTTTAATAATTTAACTCTTGTAAATAATGATACCTCTAACATCCAACTCCTAAATTTCCCTAACAGAGTCCCCCTATCATAGAGGTTTTAATATTGTAATCTTTAATTTATGGTTTCCTGTAATCGCCTCTGTTGATTCCTGTAGTCAGTCCTGTGTCAGGAAGCACAGTCTTTTTAGTGTTTTTGTTACTGTGTGTATTTTTGTGTGAATAGCTACTGTAGCATTATGTCCTGGAGGCTGTGGTACCCCGGACGACTATTTGTGCAACAGTTCTCTGAGGTAGGATGTCTGCACAGAAATGAAGTTACTCCTCAATGAGTCATCTTTACCACCTTTTCTGCGACCACAGAAACATCATTTGACCACCACTGCCTCCCCCCTTCATCTGCCAGACTGCAGACGGACAGGCTGTAGCTGAAGCCTTCGGTAACTTCTGGTTGTCAGTGGGAGACCATCAAGACTACAGCTGGTGGTCACCCAGCTCCAAACTGCAGCTGAACAGCCGTTGTGGCAGTTGCTAAGGTTTGGGAGGCATTTTGTTGCACAAAAAGTTGCCCAGTTATGCTCCAGTCTTCTAAGGAGTGCACTGAAGCCAAATCCTGTTGAGATTCGTATGGCACCTGCCTCCTTCAACTCAGATGGGAAGCAGATTCTTTCTGTTGCTCCACTGCACATGGCCTTTTTTGTTTGTCTCTCCTCCACCTGCCTACATGTAAACAACATTAACAACACCATATTGCCACGCATGCATACCTAACCTGTTGAGTTTAGTGTTAGCTGATGGGACCAAGACATTGTCTTCCAACAGATGTACACAAGTAGTGTGTGCGTTGTTGATTTCTGTTGACTAGGATCACTACAACTACAGTTCAGTCTGGCTCATCGACCTGTGTTTGTGATTTGTGAAATACAACGGGATGATTGTTTTTTTTTTTTTTTCTCTCTGTGGAGAACCATCTTTTCTTTTTCTGTCGCCCTTCCCTGTCTGTCCATGTCTAGCTCAAAGACACTTCAGCAGGGCCTGTCCCTTAACCCCCCGGCTCCTCTTCCACCCCGCTGCCTTGTTTGGATGTTGCAGTGCGATTTAATGAGGTGTTCAGGCTGAGCTAACGCAGGCCGAGATTAAATTTGCTCCGTGCAAATCCTGGCATTAAAAAGGTTCAGCACTCCTGTTGTAGATGCAGATGTAGAAGAACGGTATCACCTTTTTGGAGACAATGGGGACCAGGATGCTTCTAGCAAAGAGTTGCCCCTCATGTAAAATACACTAATGCAAATTTGCTAGCAGCAGAATCAGTTAACCTACTGTAGATTAGATTAGTGTTTTTACTGTCTAATGGTACAGTTATTGTGCATGACAAAGTGCTGCTTAGGTGAGCTTTTAGATTTCAAGACCTTATTTGTCCCCGAGGGGGAATTAATTTTTTTCCTCCCACAGTCCAGATTGACTAAGTGTCTGATTTACTACACCCATGCAAAGTGTGGCACAAACATCAACAGTTTGCATGCCTCTGTCTATAGTCAGGGCAGCCTGAGTCCATATCCACACTAGCATGTGCACCCTAGAAGGGATTCAAGCTTTTTTTTTCATTGTGTATTTACCAAATACTTGAAAACGATCTTTCAAATTTTAGCGAAAGCCTGAGATTCCAGGATAGAAAGCCACCTTGCTTGCCTGAATTGTCTGTAATAATGTTCTGAGTGGAGATCTTCCTGCCACTTTTTAAAGGAATGTTATCTTATCTGCAACCATTTCGGGGAGTTGAAATAGTAAATTACATGCACAACTCATCCTAGGGGATAGGTTTGCCTGTAATTAATTTCAGCAAACCCTGCTGGACCTTTACAGCCTTTCATCTCTGTTTAATGTCAACGCAGCTGAACTGTGAAGCTGGACGGTGCAGTCTCCGCTGTACACTGCTTTATTGATTTAGCACCACTGTCTACATGCCTTTGCTCTCCAGCAGAGAAACTGTGCTTTTTCCCTTTTGGAATCACTCTTTGTGTAATTCACGTCCATCACTCAGTTCTTGCAGTAGGGACTATTTGCTGTTAAAATACCTCCGAACCATCACTACCAACACTTTTGGGTTAGTTATTTTTCTTTGTTTCTGAGCCTGATGTACAAGTGTTAGTTCAGGACATTGGATTTTTTTTTTTTTTTTTCACCTTCAGTATAACAACAAGGCTAAAATCCTTATCAGCTAGTTGCATGTTGTGCAAGTATTTTGTACGTCTTTGACAAAATCAACCGTTTCTCCTCTTCACATAATGTACCCATGGCCTACACTTTGACCCCGACAAATAACATGTTCGCTGCTACACGCTTTTCTTTTTTTCTTTAGTTGTTTATTAAATGTGTTAAAAGATACATAGGGCAGTTGGATTATAGGCCACATCGTTCTTTGGAAATTGATATTTTAAACGGAAGTTTTTATCATCAGCCACTCACAAAAGACTAACATTTAAAACGTTTTGCTGTGAAATTGAATATGCACCCTTTGCAGCAATTATGTTAGCAAATTGTAGATTGAACAGAAATAAAACAGCTAACAGAAACTCAGCAGCTAACAGAATAATCCCTTCTTTACAGAGTGGGTCCTCTGTAATTCATGTGTCATAAAAGTAAAAATGAGTATTTTTATAGTGTGGATACATTGAGTGTAACAGCCTATAAAAGGCTTCTATAATCCAAATGTCAACACTAATGCAAGTGTTAAAAGTAAAACTGGTGAAACACTGTTTGAGGAGTGTTCTGGACTTTTGCCACCATTTCCTCTGGATTCATTGAATCATAACGTGTTCGATCCTGCATGTGTTCAGGTGTGACGTCACGGTTCTTCTTCTGTTTTTTTTTTCAGTTGTTTTTGCCTTGTTCCAACTCATATTTGGATACCGTCATGTTCAATAGTGGCCTCACACCTCTCAGGTGCCACTCAACTTTTAAAATCAGGCTGGTGTTGGATATCTTGTGCCACCCGTTCTTTTAATCTGAAACCCCCCTGATCAGCTGCCTTCACTGTGTGTTACCCTGGTTACACTGTGTCTGTGCCCTTCAATTTCCTGTATGATTTTTAATTTCAGTTTCTTACCTGCTGAACCTCACCTCAGCGTTTTTGTAACATCGTGCACGCGGATACGTCTTTACGTTTGAGGTTCACTCTTGCTTTCTGTGTCTGTTGTTTGTTTTTTGGTGTTTTGTTTGCCATCATACTGTAACAGATTCACTGCAGTTAACACGCTGTCCGGCATTCACAACTCACCTGCTAGTCTCGAGGGTGTCCGTAGTGCAAGGATGTCAACATCCACTACCACGGCAATGGTTTTGGTACTAAAATTTGCTCATCTGAAAAGCCACAACATTCTTTAGGTACCACAGATCATTAACAGTGAGAACTGGAATTTGGAAAACTGTTGTTTCCCCAACCGTTCTTTTAATTCTGTTTTTGGTTTGGGAACATTTTTAAAAGGTGTATCCTTTTATTATTGCTATCTTGTTTGTTTTCTTTCTCTTTTTTTGTGGCCAGTAGTAATTAATAATGTGCGTTAATGTGTTTTTCCCACGTGAAAATACTCTTGTACTGAATCTCTTGGTTTGATTGTTTTTGGTTGGCACAAAAGAACCAGTGTGATTGTTCCTTGAAATGTAAATCCCTGCTATCATGCTCTGTCAGGCTGAAGAAGCCTTTTGTGATTTGCAGCACTTGTGAAACAGATCCGAGTCTCACTGCGAGTGGTACCCTTTCAAACACATCATCAGTGTCCTGCAGAACCTTTTATCTCAAAACAGGTGAACACCGAAGTAGAAGGAACATTTATTGTATTCATTTTACAATCTGCTGCTCCACAGAGGTTCAGTGCTGGTGTCAGTGCTGTGTGGTTTCGGAAATAGATAGATGAAGACATACATTTGAGAACATGGGGAACTGTTTGAGATGATGCATGGTCTCTGCATAACATAGATGACGTTTAAAGGTGTTCATTTTAAAGTGTACCTTTTATGTTTCCAGTGATGGTGCAATTGCAAGTTATAACATCATTTACATACTCAACTAATACAGTCTAGCATGGGAATATAATGGTTCGGATACTTTTTGGACCTTTTATTATTCTGCTAATGTACTGCTGCAGCTTCAGTGTGTTTGATTCTAAAAACCAAATTAACTCGCTAGAACTGAAAGTCTTCACACCATCATTCACAGCAGTATCACATCTCGCACTGTAGTTGACATTTTTGTAAAATCTTTTAAGTGTTTGAAACATTTTCAGCAACTACCATGCAGATACAGTATAAAGCATTTAAGTGAACTCACTCTTAAGCAGTGATTTTTCTGCTCTCTCTCTCTCTCTCTCGAGTGAACAATGTGGGTGTTTGTCTGCTTTGATAACAGTCTGAGATGTGATTTTAAGAGTTTGGGGTTTGAACCTCAGCGACACTCTTTTTAGGGTTCATTTCCCACTGGGACCACCTGTCCTCAGATCAGTATGTATTCCTCAGTACTGTAAGGAGCTGTGGCTTAAAGAGCCCACCGAACTGCAAATGTTCACGTCATCCATAGTGAAATCTAACCAACAGGCTATGCAGTAACTCATCCATGGATCTCTTTGTCCCTTTCAATACACTCACCTCTTCTCTAAAGCTACCAGAGTTGATTTGACTTGTTTGTAAATGTTTTTCAAAAAAAAAAAAAAGATATGCAACCCTGTTAGTTTTCCCCTCTTAGAAATCCTGTTTGAATCTTGACGGAGAGAATTTCTCCAAGTATGTCCTGCTGATTTAGTTGTTAACACTATTTAAGGCGGATGTACACAACGGGATGTTTTAGGCCAGATTATGAACCAAAAGGAGCGTACCAAGCATGATTTTTCAGTGTTAGAGGTCATTGACACATACAATAAGAAACTTTAACATACCTAGATATCTTTGAATGTCGTGGCGGACACTCGTCTCATCCAAACTTTGCATCTTGTCGGATGAATGATGAAAACTACTTCAAATAGGCTGAAGCTCTGTGAACGATGTTCCTTTTATTTTTGACAGTGTTAGTTTAGGACGGATGCCAAACTGTGAACACCTTGTTGCTGTCAGACCAAACTAGTCAGAGCGACCTTCTGACCTTTTACTTGTCTGTGTGTTTTCCACACAACTTCACTAAAGCGTTCAGGATTTCCTCACAGGTTCCTAATCTGGTCAAACATCCTGTTGCGTGAACACATCCAGCCTTTAAACTGTCTTCTGGAATGCTTGACTGGCAGGACAGACCTTTTCACCCTTGTGTATTTGATTGTACAGAGATTTTGTAAATAATATTAATATGATATATTCTGCACCAGCAATCTGTCTGTTGATAAAGTTGGTTCAACTGTTCAGGGTCAGGTTTCCCAAAACACGACTCGGCACTTCATTTACAATCCCAACGCAGACAGAAGACACGTGGAAACAAACCACTTTCCTCTGCAGCTTTAATACCCTTACCAACAACTTTACCAGAGCTGTGATAAATAATACTCGCAAAAAAAAAAACTTTTAGGAGTCTGTGTAAACCTCTTTGTGGTATGTGATTGGTGAGATTTTGCTCATTAGGACTAGATACATTTCTAGATGTTTTTTCTGTGATTGTCTAAAATTTCTGACATTCATTGTAAGCCTGAATCCACCAATCTGATCTTTTTTTTAAATGTGACTATAATTTTCTCAATTCCATTCAGGTCTATTTTAATTTGATTTAAAAAATAACCATGCTAAATATGTCACAGTTAGTCTGAATGATGGTTGAGAACTAAAGGGGACGTGGTATGTTGACTTAGACCTTTCGTCTGCACTTGTAAGTGTTGAACTCATTACATCCAGACGTTTGTTTCCTGTCTGCTGGATTTCAGTGCCGGTCGTTCACGTCAGCTCCTCTGTGATCTGGATCTGTGTGTGAGATGTTTGGGAAGCCCAGTGCTGGTTGTTAGCATCAGTTCTGCTGCTTCTTTTAACTCTGGTTTGAAAACAGAAAGGGTTAAAAAGAAAAAAAAAAACGACTATAAAAAAGAAAACAGCTCTCTGCCTTGTGCAATGCATATGTACTGAAGTGAAGAGATTTTTTTTTTCTAAAAAGGAATTAAACTAAAACTGGATGAGAAATGTGTTGTGGTTGTGTTTTTACTGAAAGAAAAGGAAGACCTAACATTTCTAAGTTTATGGCAGCTTAAAATCCTACGCATGAAGAATAAAAAGCAGAAAGATTTGACTGACTCAACAGTTGACGTTGGTTTAAGTAACAGTGAACCCGTGATGGTGTGTAAATGAATTGGGGACTCAGATTAGTCTCAAGTGGCACTGACAATATAATCCAATAGCATATAGTATCAGAATAATTTTGAGATGCAAACATTAATCTAAAGAGAAACTACAGAAAGACTATAGGCATGTGTCAGAGCTACTACAAACATGCTACTGTGTAGAAAAAGTCCCATAATGCTAGATTTAAGTCAGACTAACATGTACAAGCCACCATATGGAGTCCTGGGGAGCGTGCCTATGTTCACACATTTCTAAGATTTTCTTTCAAAATTAGGCCCTATGTTCCCACATTTCTAACCCTAACCCTAAAAATCTTGTGGGAGGCTTAAATTTAAGGGAAATGTAGGAACACAAGACCTAATTTTGAAAATGTCCTAGAAATGTGGGAACATAGGCCTAATATTTCAGAATTTCATATACTAAATTCAGATCCCTGTAACTTAAGTATAAGTAGCACACTGAAAGTACATTATTAGCTAAATGTACTCAATGCAGACCAATGGCCCCTGTTATTACTATTGTACTATTATATTACTAATGATGAAACTCCATCATTAGTAACAGTGTATTTCACTGTTGTAGTTGGCATTTCACATACTGTTGGGTTTGGTCTGTAAAAAATACATAACTGAATACATCATATGTTTAGTAGCAATGTTAATGGACTGTGAAATAAGTACAACATATGTATTAAATGTAGTGGACTATGGCATCAAGTGACAAAGACACTCAACTAAGAACATGTATTTTAAATTGAGTAGATATAGGCTGTATGGAAATATAAAAAGAAGCGAGTCAATAAACAATAGTAAATATCCAACAACTGTTTTAGCTAGCTACCTAGCTGCAGCTAACTTTCATCAGCTATTCATTTGTTAGCATTAGCTTGTTGGCTAAAATGGCTCCTACAGTGCTTTTATTGCGGTGTATGGATGATTAACAAATGCTAAAGAGAAAATAAACGTGTTTTATCAGCTGACTGGAGGACAAAGGAACGTGTGCAACATTTCTTTTAACTCTCCAGAGTTTAAGTAGCCTAAATATATCTAACATTATGTAGCCTCTCTTTTTGACTCACCTTTACTGCCCATTGTTAGTACGGCTCTCCACACCAGTATTACGTGAATGGGCTTTTCTTAACTAGGATTTTTATTTTATTTTATTTTTTAAAGTTGTCAGACGATGTCAAAAAACTTTGTAGGACTATTACAGGAGACGCTGAACATCACATTTTTTTAATTGCTTTATCTCCCGTGGTAAAGATAGAGTGCACAGGGCTATCATGTAACAGGCTGCACTGTATAACGCAACATTATTATGGGATTGTTATACAATGTATCAATAAAAGAAAAGGGACCGCGTTAGTATGAAGACACATAAAGAGTTCCGGTGGGAATATTTAGGGACTCCTCCCCCCCCTCCCTCCCCTCTTATCTTCAGGGTGCGGACGCCGTGGGGCCGCAGAGCACCTTCGGGGTGTTTGCAGGAGCGGCTGCAGCGGTTGTGATCGCCTGTGTGTTTGAGGCATGAAGCGGTGACAGAGGAGCAGAGGCCGGCAGCGAGCTGATGTAAGTCACCGCACACTTTATTGTTCTTTTTAAAAAAACTAAATCTTGTTTAAAACGATGGTGCAAGTTCTCTAAAAGTCTATGTGTTACTCCCCCCTGCGTGCATGTCTTTTTTTTTTTCCTTTGGTAATATTTTGGTTAGACTCGATTTGATCTGAAAATATATATCGCCTACCTCATCCAACGCTGCGACAAATACACACATATTCATTGAAAATGGGGAGGATCACACAAAAAAAAGTTAGAAAAATAATAACTATCATTTCCATTGTGGTCCTTTCACCTAATGAATTGAAGTATAGTCAATATAATTAATTATTATTATACAATTAAGGGGGGGCAGGAGCTCGGTCTGTAGGAACTTGGCTTCGGAACCAAGTCCAGCACGGACCACAGTATGGACTGGCAGCTGGTTCCACCTCCTGTGCTCTGCCTTTGAGCAAGGTATCTAACCCCTAACTGCTCCAGGAGCGCTGCTACGTGGCAGCCCATCATCACCTCGCCATCTCTCCACATTTGCATGTCTATAAGCCCTGTGTGTGTGTGTGTGTTTAAACAAAAAGAGTGAAAAAATAATTTCCCCATTGGGGATTCCAAGTATATCTTCTTCTTCTTCTTCTTCTTCTTCTTCTTAATATTTAGGTAAATATGTTTCTATCATACAAAACAACACAGAATATTTTGTACCTATGTGTTGAATTAGAAAATAAATGGTCTACATATACTATTTGTAGGCTGCAGAATCCGTTTTAGGGATCTATGTTCAGATGAATGTCATGTGCAAACATGTTTTATGGCCATTGGAGTTAATTGCTTGTGGTGAACACCTTTCAGTGAATCTGAGTAAACTCTGCTCCTGTTTTCATGGCTAAGTGCCAGTTAACTTTGCAGCAAGAGGGGAATTCTCTGTAGAGGACACACACACACCTACACACACACACACACACACACATGCAAACTTTACAACCTGTTAGTTTGACTAGATAAGGTTTTTTGAGACAGATGATAAAGCAAAAAAAGCTGCCAGAAACCTTTGGTCAGGTGCATGCGTTTCACCAGCACAGATATGCTTGCTCTTCAAATCTATTCTCTTTTTATGTTTGAAATAAGTTTTACGTGTTCCTTTTATTGCTTTATTTCCTAATTGAACGTTTGCTGTCCTCTAACTGAGGACTCTCTGCCCTTTCCAACCTTCTTATCAATACACATGAACACACACTGTTTGTTTGTCTATGTTCTTCGAGCTCCTGTAATGGCCCCAAACCAGACCATGTAGCTGAAATGCAAAGACGGCACAGCTGGTGTGAAGGCCTGAGCTTTTCAAATGGAAACACCTACTGATTCATAGATGTTTCACAAGCATTTTAAACACTTACCAGTTACTCCACCAGTAGTGTGGAGCTTAGGCTCGGGGCATGACTATCAAATCAAACAAGCAGCAGTGGTCCAGTTCTTTTTTCCTGAAGTAGAAGTACTACAGCAATACGTCACTGCGATTCCTCTACAAGTAAAAGTCCTACGTTCAGAACATTAAGTGAAAGTATTAAAAGTAGTATTATCAGAAAAATGGTCTCTGCCGGACATTTTTGGTTAAATATTGTTATTGCATTAATGTGTAGGGCACATTTTACTGATAGATGTTTAGGTTTGAGCTTATCTTTATTTATACATTGTTGGGTAGTTTATTCTACAGCAATGCTTCATATTCTATAAGATCACCAATGTGTCATGGGATTTCTTAAGAGTCAATTTTCATGAGCTCAGAAAAACAACCCTGTTTTCAGCGTTGTGAACGTGCATTTTAAAGATAATCCATGAGGGGTTCAAATGTTTCTTTAGTTTAATAAGTAGGATAATTTTCATCCTTTATCCCAGACAGTCAATCAACATGTCTGGATATACATGGTTTTTACTGGAGAGGAAGTTTTTTTTAGCGAGTGTTGAAATCTAAATCGCTTACCAAAGAGTCATTTGTGGCTACTTTAAGATGTGTTTTATTTGACAAACGTTCTCCACAAATTACTTGGGTTTCACTTTTTATTGTTTGTGAAGATCCTCCACGGCACAGTACTGTTTTGTCAGCACTTTCCATAAACCTACTGGTTTTGACTTTGACTGCTTTGTCGGGGGGGTGGGGGGGGGTAAAATGATCGAAGCTTGTTAATTGCTTACGGTAGCCACAGGCCTTTAGCCTTTGTTTGGGGTCCTTTTCAATGAGATAGTGAAAACACACTTCCATGCTGTGGTGAGAAAAGAGGATCTTGTGCTTTTTCGAGGATGGGAAATAGTGGGTGGGTC